ACTTCTAGAATGTCAACAATCAGTCCAGAAGGGCTCCTGGCAACTGTATTATCTTGTCTTCTTTTCTCACTAACACCCTTGGGGTTTTTACTCCCAATGCACCCTAGGATCCAATTCCCCATTTTTTCTTTTTCTTTTTCTTTTTTTTTTGGGATGGGGTCTTGCTCTGTCACCCAGGCTGCAGTGCAGTGTCACCATCTTGGCTCATTGCAACCTCCACCTCCTGGGTTCAAGTGGTTCTCCTGCCTCAGCTTCCTGAGTAGTTGGGATTACAGGCATGTGCCACCACACCAGGCTAATTTTTGCATTTTTAGTAGAGATGGGGTTTTGTCATGTTGGCCAGGCGGGTCTCAAACTCCTTACCTCAAGTGATCGCCCTCCTTGGCCTCCCAAAGTGCTGGAATTATAGGCATGAGTCAGGGTGCCCGGTCCCAATTCCCCATTTGGGCATTTATGTCTCTCTCCTACTTATCCCTTCTTATGTCCTGAATTAGAGGAATTATTGAATTCTGCCCACTATAAAGGTTTCTGAGCATTCTCCTTTAAATCTTCTATAAGGCTCCCATTATTCTTTTGAGCAAAACCTATAAAAATAGATCATATTAGGTAAGAGGTGGTCCTATTCTCTGCTAAGCCATAACCCAAAATATGGAGAACAAAGAGACCTAAAAGCTGATTCACTCAATGTCAAAAAAGTCAGCTCCTAAAGAAACAAGGAATCATTCTATCTGGCTTCATTCATTTCTTGAAGAAACCATTTACTGAGCTGACTATATATACAATGAGGATGCTGGGGAAACAAAGATGATTAAGGTGATAGACCCAGCCCGTAAGGAGTTACCAGTTTGGTCCAGCATAGCTCTGGGGCTTCATGCCCAAAGTGGTCCCAAGTAGGCCACAGGACAGGCAGCAGAGTGCAATTAACTACGATGACCTGTAAAAATGGCAACCAAGTCTTCTTATCAAGTCAGACACTACATTCCATTTCTTCTAAATGCTTAAACAATGTCCTAATTCCAAATCACTCCAAACCAGCCTCTCTCTCTGAGGACATATGCAATATATTTGGGAATGAGAACAGAGTACCAGCAAGATTTAATTTATTCCTTTTTTCAAATTTCTCTTCCCACCCTCCTCACCCACCCCAACTGGCACTGCTTGCTTACTGAGTTTCACTCCCCCTCATGGAACCACAGCTCCCCGCAATATGCGCTGGCTGTGGCAAGGAGCCAGCACACACTTAAATCCAACAGCAATTTGCATCTGACAGCATTTCCTCAATTTTGGACTCCAGACTCCAGCTAAGTTGACAGGCCTAGCTTCTGAGGATGAAACGGTTCTTGGTGTATATACTAATGAATTAATTTGCCTGATTACTTTTGCTTAAATTGAGGGTCTGGGTTAAGAATTCTCAAATGAAAAGGCAATGTTGTTGATAAGATCTGCGCATGATCTTATCGGCAGTGCTGGGCATAGCTTTTTAAGTCAGTCACATTCTCTTAGTTTGTAGGCTGCTGGGAAGACAATTTACCAATACTTACTATTTTGTGACAATATATAGATTGTTTCAATAAGCCACTTCCCAGGAATGTGGTAGGAAAAAATTAAAAAGCAATCTGTTCGGAATGAACCTTAGGCTTTGTCGAACTGCCTCCAAAAAGGTTATCATGACCAAATGTATTCTTAAACAGTTTAGATGACAGCACCACTTCACCCAGAAGAAAGTGGATACTTTTAGTAGGAGGCCACTGGTGAGAAGATCCAGCAGGATAATCTGAGAGGAATCATTAAAAAAAAAAAAGATCTTGTTTCCTATGATCTATGTTAGAGGATAAAAATAAATAAAAATTAAAAAATAAAGATCAAGTTCAAAAGGAAAATTAATGCAACTATCTTCTGAAGCATATGCCACAGAGCTATATTTAAGACCATCTCATGCTTTCATTTTCAGAAGCTGGAACAGTGCTGTCTAATAGAACTTTCTGCAATAATGGAAATGTTCTATGCCTGTGCTACATAGCTACTAGCCACATGTGGCAAATGAGCACTAGAAATGTGGCTAGTGTGACTGAGGAACTCAATTTTATTTCACCTTAATTTTTATTTAAATTTAGCCAGCCATTTGTATGGCTGTCTTATTGGACATCACAGAGACGGAAGATACTCTCTGCAAAAGGCTGCCCCAAACTATAATTTCACAAATTAGTTTATTCTGAGAAGCGCAAAAAGCAGGGTGGAGATGACCTCTCCTAGCAGGTTCCCACACTAGCCAAGCCTTTCAAATCTCCAGGGTTTCTCCTCCAAATTACTCCCTTTCTTTAATGTCTTTCTCTTTTCTCCACCCTAACACCTCTTACCCTTTAGCTCCGCCCTAACTTGGCTAATAGGCTTTCAAAAAGGCCCCTTTTTTTTCTGATGCTGCCTGGGCTGAACACTGGTAGAATCCCACAAATGTTTATGTTAATCACACTAGGCGAACTTTGATGGAAGTTCTGGAATAGGCACGCACCTTGCCTTACCTTACTGGGATGTCTGATAATTTACACTTGCTTCATTCAGGCTTCTGCTGGGTGATACATCTGTAATCCCAGAAAAGCCCTGCCTACTAAGCATGGCTCTTTTAAAAGATTTTCAAACTTTCAATTTTCAGCAGAATGTTTTGAGCCCACTTATTGAAAACCACATCTGAAAGGGGCAGATGGGCCAGAATAAAATCCAAAACTTATACACACACCCACACATGTGCACAAGTGCACACACCCATGCATTCCCTATACAACTTCCCTACAATGCGTATCTTTGTAAAAAATGTCCTGAGGCCAGCCGAAGCGGCTCACATCTGTAATCCCAGCACTTTGGGAAGCTGAGGCAGGCGGGTCACTTGAGGCCAGAAGTTTGAGACCAGACTGGCTAATATGGTGAAACCCCATCTCTACTAAAAATAAAAAAATTAGCCAGGTGTGGTGTCACGTGCTTGTAATCCCAGCTACTTGGGAGGCTGGGACACGAGAATCACTTGAACCTGGGAGGTGGAGGTTGCAGTGAGCAGAGATCGTGTCACTGCACTCCAGTCAGTGAGACTGTCTCAAAAAAAAAAAAAAAAAAAAAAAAAAAAAAAAAAAAAAAAAAAAAAAAAAAAAAAAAAAAAAAAAAAAAAAAAAAAAAAAAAAAAAAAAGTCCTCGAAGTTCTAACTCATGTTTTCCAGACTTGAGGGCCTATTTTAATCCCTCTGAAATGGTTAGCTACTCTTTTAAAGAATAATTTTCTAAAAGAAAGAGGTAAAGTTCTGAATAATGGGGCACATTTTGGAATCACAAGTCATAAACACATAAATAGACAAGAATGTATTCCTATGTTAAATGACATGCCTCTACTTGAAAATACACAGCCATTTATCTTGCAGATCAGCTTAGGACCGCCCAGGCTTCATTCTTTGCTAGTCTGGACCTGAGAATGCATTAAGATCAGTTGTGAAAATGCAGAAGTTAATTCAACTTCCTCCTAAATGCTACACTGCTCAGAAAAAAGTATACAGCAATCATCCAAAATAAGACTCTGGGCTGATTCATTTGAATATTCAAAATGCAAAGACACTGGTAAGAGAGGCTAAGACAAGAAAGAAGCAAGTCAGCCTAAAATATAAGCAAAAGCAGCTCCTGGCAGGAAACAGTACTGCTCACTACACATATGAACTTCAAGAAAGTAGTGCTTTGTTTTACAGATAAAATCTGTAGCCTTAGAAAGGAGACAGGACATACTATATATTCAGTTTAAATGGTAGTTCATAATTTTTAATGCCTCCAAGCCACAAGTACATAATGGCCACTTAAAAATTCCCCTCCACCGATATTCTCCCATCTGTGGCTCTCCAAGCACTTTCCCATTACTAGTTCCCAGTTCACCAGAAACGGTTTGCACTTATTTCGTCAACTGTGAAACCAAGATGTGAAGCCCCATGCTCCCAGAAAGGGAAATGAGGCAAAGGGACTGGCCACAGGCCACCAAAAATTAGAACTTAAAACCCTGAGCTCATGTTTTAAATATTATATTAGAAAAGCAAAGCAGCTTTGGAGGAGGAGGTTGTCTTCTACTGATTCCTGTGTTTGGCAGAGAAGGCTGCCTGGGAAATAGAACCTAAGCCCATCTTTTAAAAAGTCCAAACCTAAAGAAAGGTTATCTAAGAACTACAGATTCTGGAGGCTTTGAAGTGTGTCACTGGGCCAGGGTTACCACAGAAGAAATCACAGACCAAGGGTCTTGATATAAGAATTTACAAGATAGCCAGATAAAGACTACTGGATGAGGAGAGAGCGTTAGAACCTCAGAGGAGAGATAAGGAAGGGGTGTGGACCGAGAGACCATTAGCTTTGCTTGAAAAATATGTAACAAAATGGCCCAGTGTCTCTCACAGAAGGGTTCGGGTAAGAGAAACCAGAGATCGCTTTTTCCAGCTCTGAGACTCGGTCGGCTTTCAGTCTTCTCTTCTGCTCCTTTTAGAGGAGATGGGGGTGGGGAACGAGAATGCTGGTAGCGATGTGGGGCCTACATCTCCTTCCCTCCACCAGTCCTGGGAATTCCTGAAAACTCCTTCCAACCCAATTCCAAACAGGCGCTCTCTGGGTTCTGAACAATGCCGGGGAATTTCATACAGGGAAGGAGTCGTCGTCTTCTCTTCCCAGGGGGCAGGGGGCAGGGGGCTCCCCCGGCGAGAGTTCCGGCCCCAGCTGCCCCCACGTCCCACAGGTCTCCTGCCCTTTGGCACGCACAGTCCTCAAGACACGTTGCTTCCGCATCCCTCCTCTGAGCCTCTCCCCACGCATCTCTGCCCCTCGCCCCGCCGCACCCAATCGCCTCCCACGTCTACCCCGCCGGGGCAGCCCCTACACCCTGCCAGTCACCCCATTTCTCTCCTCCAGGTCTGGGGGACTGGACGACACTGGGGATTAGCTGGGGCCAACTCTGCCTCCTCCGCCACCCTCAGCCCCGGGCGCGCGCTCACCCGGCGGCCGCGTTCTCGAACTTGAGCGCCAGCGTCTCCTCGATGATGCGGTTGTTCACCTCCAGCAGGATCATGGCGGCGGCTGCCCCGAGCAGGGGAAGGAGAAATAAGGGCCGGTGAGGGTGGGTAAGGGAGTGAAGGACAGAGGGAGCGGCCCTGCTGCCCCCTGAGGAGGGGGGCTGGGTGGGGTAGGAGGTTAGGGGAGAAGGGGAGAGGGACCGGGGTGGAGGGAAGGGTAAGACGCACGCGCTGGCCCACGCACGCAGACTGTGGAGACACCCACCCACCCAACCGACCTGGCCCCCAAAGCCTGAACCCGACTGCCGAGCCGCCGCCGCCGCCACTGCCGCTTCACCGACAAGCCAGGTCCCCGCCCAACCCCCGGCTCTAGCCGGCCACTTCCGCTCTCACACCCACTTCCGCTCGCCGCCCGGAGGCGCGGTCCCGTGGCGCCATTTCCGCTTCAACCCCTCGTGCACGCGAGCGCAGGCGCGCCAGAGGAAACGGAGGCAGCGCTTGCGCATGTGTGATGCCACCGCACCACCTCTGCTTTCCCACAGACCCCCTTACATCCGCCGCCTGCCAGTGCGTCCCTCGCAGAGCTGAAGTTCCCCGAGGCTTGCCTGATTGTCCAGCTTTTCCTTCCCGCCTGTCCCAGAGATCCAACTCAGTTCTTCCGGTCTTGTCATTTCAGAGACCTCGCAAGAAGCTCTCCCTTGTCGTCTCCCAGCGGGCTTCTTTGCTCCCAGCTCTTTTGCTGTGGGTGCCCCTTTTCAATCCAGGTTAATAGCTGTCCAGCGACACCATCACTCATTCATTTCTCTAACAAATATTTCATGGGCTCTTGCTTTGTACTGGGGATGTAGTGGCGAATGAAATAGACGAGGTCCTGCCCTCATGAACTTATAGTCTGGTAGAGGAAACAAACAATAAACACGTTCTTAATTGTATAAGGAGGCCGAGAGGATAGGGAGAGGATCAGGGGAGGGATGCGGAAGCAGCGAGTGATCAGACCTGTGCGTGCCCAGGGCAGGAGACCTGTGGGACGTGGGGGCAGTGGGGGACGGAACTCGCGCCAGAGGAGCCTCCTTGCCTGCTGGGGCGAGAGGGGAACCTTTCCTTGTGTGAAATTCCCCTTATTGTTAAAAGGGCAATGAGGGAAAGGAATGAGAGGTCACCTGGGTGAATAGGCAACTTAAGGCCCCCCTGAGTTGCTGTCATGCCTCTAATTCTATATGCCTGGGGAAATGCGTCCAGGTGTCCAGAACATGATTTTTTTCCCTGCCTTTTTTTAAACCTATACCTTCAGTACCTCTGGCAGAAACATAACCCTCTTTGTTACCTACGTGTGGAAACTTAACTCATCTTTGTGTTACATCTGCACCTTCTGCCTTTATGTCTTGTTTTGTTTTCCCTCCTCCGGGAAGTATGTAACAAATTTAGCTGAGTCTCTTCTACATAGAAGGAAATAATTTATTTTCTGCTATGTGTTTGGTGTGGGGATACAAAATGAACAAGAAACTAGCTCCTATCATTAAGGCACAGATAGCCCTTTGAAACATTACTTACCGTGCTATGGATAAGCTTCAGGATGTTACTGATGCCCTCAAATTATATGCTAACCTATTTTTTTTTTTTTTTTTTTTTTTTTTGAGACAGTGTCTCACTCTGTCACCCAGGCTGGAGTGGTGTCGCTACCTTGGCTCACTGTTACCTCCACCTCCTGGGCTCAGGTGATCTCCTGCTTCAGCCTCCCAAATAGCTGGGACTACAGATGCACGCCACCATGCTGGGAGAATTTTTGTATTTTTAGTGGAGACGGGATTTGGCCGTATTGGGCAGGCTGGTCTCTAACTCCTGGGTTCAAGTGATCCTCCTGCCTCGGCCTCCCAAAATCCTGGGATTACAGGCGTGACCCATGGTGCCCGACCAATATGCTAACTTTTTAACATTAATGTCTCAACTAAAATAATGTTTATAAATTGTTTAAAATATGTATGCTTATGATACTAAAAGACTTGTAAAGAAAAAAGGAGTTCCCTGTCCTACTCTTTGGAGGCAATATGCTCAACTCTTTCACAAATTCATCCTGATACTTACCTTCATATTTCTTTCCCTTTTTTTTTTTTTTGAGGTGGGGCTTCACTTTGTTACTCAGGTTGGAGTGCAGTGGCATGCTCTTGGCTCACTGCAGCCCCAATCTCCCGGGGCCCAAGTGATCCTCCCACCTCAGACCCCAAGTTGCTGGGACTACAGGCGCCCACCAATATGCCCAGTTAATTTTTGTATTTTTAGTAGAGACAGGGTTTCACCATGTTGCCCAGGCTGGCCTTGAACTCCTGAACTCAAACGATCTGCCCTTGGCATCCCAAAGTGCTGGGATTAGAAGCGTGAGCCACCATGCCCAGCCTGTCTTCATATTTCTAAGTAAATGTTTATACCATTATTTCTTGGTTTGTTAATTTTTAGCATTATGTGTTGACTTCCTGACACAGTAGATAAGAACTTGACTCTATCACTTCTGCTGCCCACCATATAGTTGTGTAACAATTTTTGGTTAAGCCAATAATATGCACCCAACTGTATTAAAATTATTATGTATGCAAATATTATTTACTGATGAGCCAAGAAATGCACTGCAATCATGACTTCTAGTTTATGTGGTCCTTCGTTTTTCTTAGGGTTAATTATTGCTTTTCTCTCACTTGTCTGGTCTTCTATAAACAATATTTACAGTTGGCTTTTCCCCTCAAATGCTCTAAGTCTCTATCAAAAAGTCTAGCAATAATATTTTCCATATAGTCAACATGTAAGTTCTACTTTTTCTTTGGAGCTTTGGTCCCAGAGCCTGCCTTCCTCTTGTTTCAGTCTGGACTGGCTGCTCGCTAGACTTGCTGTACAGTCGTCATTCTGGAATTTTCCTTCATTGCTGTTATGGGCTGGTTTTCCCCATTTCCTAGATCCCATGTCTTCCTCTTTCATGGTTTACTTCCTTGTTTTGCTAAACCGTCTCCTTTAGTAACTTCCTGAGAAAAGGCGATGCGGGACATATGTTGTTAAAATCTTTGCATATTTGTAAATGTCTTACTTCTATTTAACACTTGACATGTTGTTGGGCTAGATATTTAAGTTTGAAAATAATTTTCCTTATTATTTGGAGGTATACTACATTTTCTTATACCTTCTAGGGTTGCTATTTAAAAAATTCCGATTTATCTTTCTGATCCTTTGTGTGTTACATCTCCCCCATCTGTGGAGGCCTTAGGATTTTCTCTCTTTAACCTGTTGGTTAGAAATTTTATAATGATATGCTTTATTGTACCACCTTCTTTTCTTTTTTCTTTTTTTTGAGTTGGAGTCTTGCTCTGTTACCCAAGCTGGAGTGCAGTGGCACGATCTCGGTTCACAGCAACCTCCACCTCCCGGGTTCAAGCAATTCTCCTTCCTCAGCCTCCTGAATAACCAGGACTACAGGTGCACGCCACCATGCCAGGCTAATAATTTTTGTATTTTTAGTAGAGATGGGATTTTGCTATGTTGCCAGGCTGGTTTCGAACTCCTGACCTTGTGATCTGCCCGCCTTGGCCTCCCCAAGTGCTGGGATTACAGGCATGAGCCCCCGTGCCCAGCTGTACCACTTTCTCAATTTGTTGTCCTGAGCACTGATTCAAAGTAGAAATTCATAGAGCTGAGCATGGTGGCTCGTGCCTGTAATCCTAATACTTTGGGACGGTGAGCAGGGAGGATTGCTTGAGCCCAGGAATTTTAGGCTGCAGTGAGCTAGGATCATGCCACTGCACTCCAACCTCTATGACAGAGAACTTGTCTTAAAGAAAAAGCACAAAAACAAAATGCTCTTTTCATCTTGCAAAACTGAACTCTCAACCAACTCATTGTTTTTTACTGTGGGGTATCTCCTCGCATTATCTTCAACCATTTTAATTTTTTTTTGAGATGGGGTCTTGCTCTGTTGCCCAGGCTAGAGTGCAATTGGCAATCTCAGCTCACTGTAGCCTTGACCTCCTGGGCTCAAGTGAACTGCCCACCTCAGCCTTCCAAGTAGCTGGGACCACCGGCTTGTGCCACCACATCTGGCTGATTTTTTGATTTTCATAGAGGTGAGGTCTCCCTATGTTGTCCAAGGCTGAAGTTTCAGTTTTCTTATTTTTAATTCCCAAGAACTCTTTTCCTGCTGAGTGTCTCTTTTCGATGTTATTTTATCCTGGTTTGATGGACAGGCATAACTTTTCCTATCTGTGAGGATATTATAATAGTGAATATGTTTTTCGTTTTTCTTCTCCTCTCCGCTTTGTCTCTGTTTCCTTGGGTCCTTTTTAATGCTAATTTTTTGGCTACTCTTATGTTAATGGCCATCTCAAACTTCAGTCTACTTTAGCAATCTATTCATCTTTAAGAATGAGACCCTGAAAAGCCCGAGTAGAGACTCTTAAGTGTTTGGGCAAGATGAGTTGACTAGCTCCTTGCCACTCAAAAAGGACCAGCAGCATTGACATCATCTAGGAGCTCATTGGAAATGGAGAACCTCAGCCTACAGAACCTCAGCTTGCATCTGTAATCTACAGATTTAGAATCTGCATTTTAACAAGATCACTAGGTGATTCAAGTGCATATTATGTTTTGAGAAGCACTAGATTCACCATAAGTTGCACAGATGATGTGCCAGATGTCGAATGTCAATATCAGGAGGTCATCTCTTCAGGGAAGAATCCTCCAGTTGTGTTTGGAAAGTGGTTGTTCTTAAATAGCCAGAAATTTGCCGCATTCAGTCTTGAAGATAGAGGCTAGAGGTCATTCTGAGGTTTTGTGGCTGTCTGGCCATTCTCCAGTTCTTCCTCCAGATTCACTCTTCATCCTTTTTCATCCCTCCGTCAACTGGACTCCCTTTTTTTTTTCTTTTCTTTTCTTTTCTTTTTTTTTTTTTGAGAGACAGGGTCTCGCTATGTTGCCCAGGCCGGAGTGCAGTGGCTATTCACAGGCGCGATCCCACTACTGATCATCACGGGAGTTTTGACCTGCTCTGTTTCCAACCTGGGCCGGTTCATCCCTCCTTAGGCAACCTGGTGGTTCCCTGCTCCTGGGAGGTCACCATATTGATGCTGAACTTAGTGTGGACACGCGATTGGCATAGCACACTACAGCCCAGAGCTCCTGGACTCAAGAGATCCTCCAGCCTCAGCCTCCCGAATAGCTGGGACTACAGCCTGCGCCACCGCACCCGGCAATCAACTGTACTCCCTTATGCCTGGGTG